CCTCCCCCGAGGTCCTCAAGCCTTTCACGAAGCCGAAGGGGAACCGGAACAGGGTGAACCCAGGCGCCAAGGTTCACGTGGCCGCAGCCATCGTGAACAACAAGGTCCGCGTCTGGCACTGCCTGCCCACCCTGTGGTGCGCCGACGCAGCCTGCGATTTCTACGCGGGCGCCCTCGCTCCCGCGCTTCGCCGTTGCCGGAAGGGGCGCCGCGCCTTCCGCATCCTGGAGGATAACGACCCCACGGGGTACAAGAGCAAGAAGGCCGTTGACTGCAAGCGGCCCCCTTAATTGGCGCGCCACCGCGGCGGCCGCGAGTTCGAGTCGGGCCCCGTCTGGCGATCGCCCCGCCAGTCGGCGCCCGCTCTTGATCGCCCGCCGCTCGCGCCCCGGTCGACCCCGCTCGGTCGCTCTCAGGCGGGGTCTCAAGATCACTCCCATCAAGTTCCCCGCGTATTCCCCGGACTTGAACCCCCTCGACTACTTCCTCTGGGCGGAGGTCAACCGGCGAATGGCAGAGCAGAGCGCGCCGGCCAACGAGTCTCAGAGCGCTTACAAGGCGCGCCTCAGGCGCGTCGCCATGGGCATCCCGAAGAGCGTCATCAGGGCAGCCGTGGCTAAGATGAAGACGAAGGCGGCGGAGGTCGTCGTGGCCGAGGGAGGCAGGATCCCGAGCGATTGAGCCTGCGGCCCTGGAGCGTTGGCGCTGATCAGCCGAGTCGGCGGCACGGTCTTTGCCACGACGCAATTTTTCCAGCCGCGGCCGGGGAGCCAGCCGAATCGGCGGCTCGGCTTCTGCCAGAGCGGATTTTTCCTCAGTGACCGCCGAGAGATTTCAGAATTCCTGCCGCAGCGCATGCACCGAGAAACGTGTCGTGGATCCGTACACTTGAAAATCGTAGCCGTGCTGCTACTGTTCCATCCCTGCCTTTCGGGAGGTGCTCGGCTGCCCATGGCGAGGGCCCTGCGGTGCTCGCGACTTCTGCGCTTTACGCGCGTTTGCCTTAGTGCAGGCCCGCGCGGGACACAGCCTGCGTATCATTGCGGCTTCATGTCGTTTGCACGCGTGTCCAGAACATCGTGCAACGCGTTGCCCGCGCGTCTGATGGCGTACGTCCAGGACCGCGGGACGAAGACCATGCAGCGGTTCGTCCGCAGCCGAGTGCGCAAGCTGACGGCGGACCTTGAGGAGACGAAGGAGTGGGCGTCTGCCCGAGAGAACGCGGCCTTCGAGGCGGTGGACGATTGGACGCTCGTGTGCCGCTGCGCTGAAAAGACATGTCCCCATGGCCCGGCGTGCTCGTACAGGTCAGCTCGAGACCATCTTCTCCCGCAACGCCGCTTCTTTCGACGTTCGGGAGCTCGCGGCGTCTCTGCGGGACATTCTGATGGTCGGCCCGAAGAAGACGACGAGGGTGCCCTTCCTGGTGGGGCCGTCGAATTCCGGGAAGAGCACGGTGGTTTACCCTTTCGACGACTTGTTCACTCCGAAACGGGTTCTGCACAAGCCTGCCTTGGGCTCCTCCTTTGGACTCCGGAACCTGGCCAGCGGCACGAAGCGGTTCATCTTCTGGGGCGACTTCTGGCCGGTTGAGTTCGCCCACGAGAAGACCGTCCCCGTCTCTTTGTTCCTGTCTCTGTTCGTCGGCCAGCACACCGAGATCCAGGTTTCCCAGTCCTTCAACGACGGGAACAAGGACGTCTGCTGGAACCACGGCGCCGTTTTCACGGGCAAGCTGGAGGGCCTCTGGGGGGCGATGAATAGGGTGGGTGCGGAGGACATCCGGCACATGCAGAACCGCGCGAGGCAGTTCCCATTCACCTCCGTCTTGTCGGACGGCTCTTTGCAGGACGTACTCTCGTGTGCTCCGTGCATGACCGCGTGGATCGTCCGGGAGGCGGCAAAGTTCGACGCCGTCGGCGTTTTCCGCCCGGCGCCCGCTGCGCCGGTCGGGGCAGACGCGGGCGTGCCGCCTGTGAGCGGCTTCGACGACCTCATGTCCGACGCGCGCATACCCCGCGCGCAGGCAGACGCCTTGCTGGCGGATGTCCGCGCGATGGGTGCGGTTGCCGTGGACGAGGTGCTCCCCGCGGACTGGGTCCGTCTGAATTCGCGGGCCTTGCTGCAGGCCCGCGCGGGACACAGCCTGCGTATCATTGCGGCTTCATGTCGTTTGCACGTGTGTCCAGAACATCGTGCAACGCGTTGCCCGCGCGTCTGGCCCGGGGCGGAGGAGGCGGCAGGGCGCGTTGCCCGGCGCTTGCAACGTGGAGCTCGCGGCCGGTGCTGCGACCAACAGCGCTTGCCTTCGTGACTTGTTGGCGGTGCGTTATGCCACTTCTACCAAACACGGAGGAAAGCCAATTCCGTCGGATTGAAGGTCCGGGGGCGGGGAGGGCAGGCGACCGGGGGCCGCCTTAGAGCACAACTAGAGCACAACTAGAGCACAACCTAGAGCACAACCTAGAGCACAACCTAGAACACTTCATGAGTTGTGCTCTAGGTTGTGCTCTAGGTTGTGCTCTAGGTTGTGCTCTAGGTTGTGCTCTAGTTGGGGCCGCCATGCAGGCCGGGCGGATCGTAGACGGGTGGCGGGCGCGGCGCGCGCGTCGTGTCGCAGGTCGCGAGCGCGGGTCGTGGGCGAAGTTCGCCGTGTTCGGGTCGCTGGTCGGAATGGCACCCTCGCCGTCGCGCTGGTCACAGCGTGTTCCTCTCTCCTCCCTATCGGGGAGGCTTGCGCACGCCCGCCCAGGCGCCGAGGCTTTTGCCGGGCCAGACCGAACCGCGCCAGGACCCGCGTCAATGTCGACGGCGGACGCCCCAGGCGTACACTCCGAGAAAATATGTTTGGACATGGATCCCTCGCTCGTGTCGGAGCCGTTTTCTTTGTGGGCCCGTTACGTACCACAGGGTTGCACGTGGACGTCGGAATGGTGCTCTCGCCGTCGCGCTGGCCACGCTTTCCCCCCCCCCGTTGTTTTTTTGATTGCGTGTCCGGACCGGAAGGCCTACGGCCAGGCACTGACCTTCCCCAGCCCCATTCACGGCGCGCTACCTTCCCAAGCTTGGTAAGCACACACATTCCCGAGATTTCCCGCAGAGATTTAATTGTTTTTGTGGATTGACGGAGTAGTCCCTGCTGCCCGAGGGAGGGTTCGGAGTCTGTGAGGGGTATTGAATTGGAGCAGGGAAGGACACGTAAACGAAACTTTTTTTGTTTTTTGTTGTTTTCGGACAACAGGGGTAGATTGCAACGGGGGACCCCCAGGGGGCCAGGGCAGCCGGGTGGAAAATTCGGCGTCCTAAAAGGGGGAAATTATGGCCTTGTTTTGATTTTTCTTCTCAGGACTCTGCGCGCCCCCTTGTGCGGATTGCCCGGCGCGGAGGCGAGAGCACCGATTCCTGGCAATGTGGGCCGCCGCTTGCGCTCCCTCCCTGCCTCCCGCTCTCCCTCCATTGGCATTGCCATTATCATCGCCCTTCAGACACCCGCAGGGTCGCGTCGCCCTGTCGCGAGGCGGCCGCTTGACCCGGAGTGCACCTGGAGAGCACCTGGAGAGTCCGATTCTGTGCAATGTTATTGGTTTTGTACGATTATACAATCTTCGTATGTTCCGGCGCCCCACTGAATTTGCTGCGGATTTCGTGAGCTCGATTCTGAGATCGATCGTGGATTTTGAGATATATCTTACCTTCGACCGTAGAATCGACAGTGAGATCGATAGTGATATTGATCGTGAGATCGATCTTGAAATCGACAGCGAAGCTATTGGAGACCTCCCAAAACCTCCAGAACCCTCCAGAACCCTCCCATACCTCCTAACCCCTCCGCGCTCCCCCTAAAACCTCCACAACTCCCCATACATCCGAAACCCTCGCACTGCTCCCAAATCCTCCGGAACCCTCCCACCCCCCCTAAATTTTCGGAAGACTTCCCAAAACCTCCAGAACCCTCCAGAACCCTCCCATACCTCCTAACCCCTCCGCACTCCCCCCACCCCCCACCCCCGTGCATCCGAAACCCTCGCACTGCTCCCAAATCCTCCGGAACCCTCCCAACCCCCTTAAATTTTCAGAAGACTTCCCAAAACCTCCAGAACCCTCCAGAACCCTCCCATACCTCCTCCCCCCACCCCCCACCCCCATGCATCCGAAACCCTCGTTCGCACTGCTCCCAAATCCTCCGGAACCCTCCCACACCCCCTAAACTTTTGGAAGACTTCCCAAAACCTCCAAACCCTCCAGAACCCCCCCCTACCTTCTAACCCCTCCGCGCTCCCCCCAAAACCTCCACAACTCCCCATGCATCCGAAACCCTCGCACTGCTCCCAAATCCTCCGGAACCCTCCCAAACTCGTTCTACTTTCGGAGGACTTCCCAAAACCTCCAGAACCCTCCAGAACCCCCAAGTCCTCTCCACCCCTCCGCCCCCCGCTTCCAGAGCCCTCGGAGTGCGGTGGATTCAGGGAGAGGGAATCGGCCTCGCTTGCACTCTTGGGACAAATTGCATCGGTTTTCCCGCTCCGACCCAGACAGGTTTTGGGGCAATCTTGGGCCATTTGGCAGTTCCAGCCCCTGTTTGGGTTGTCTTGGGAATGTCGTCGATGTCCAGTTGGTGGGCATACCTTTCCCTCCCCCTCCCTCCCCCTTCCTCGGACCAGTCGGTGCTCGCAGGCACGTTGAGACTCACGTCCTGTGGTGCTCTGTAGCTGTTGCGGTGCTCTGAGGTGCTTTCGAGTTCTGTGGTGCTCTGAGGCTGTTGCGGTGATCATCAGCCTTGTAGCGCCCACAGGCGCTTCGGCTCAAGCCGTTCTTACTTAATGGGCTCTGAGGTGCTCTCAGGCTTTGAAGTGGTGCTCACAGCCGTCCTGGTGCTCATGGCCATTGGTGCTGAAAATCACTGCAGCTGCCTTGTGGCTCAAGTCTTATAGGGAGAACCGTGCGGACCTTGGCACCTGTCACTGGGAGTGCCGTGCACTGCAATGCTCACAGACCCCTCTATGCCGAGGCGCCGCTTGCGGCAGAAGACGGACACGGGGTACGCGGTGCCGTCTCCCCCAGTCCCGTCCGCAGGCGTGGACGCCGAGGCCGTCGAAACCAAAGCCATCCGGGACGCCTTGAAGGCCGTCTTAGTAGGCAAGGACTTGAAACACATTTCGTTGCGTGAGTGTCGCCGCCAGGTCGCTTTGAAACTCGGTTTGCAAGAGCTTGCTTTGGACCAACGCAAGCACGAGTTCAAGAGCCTGACAACCGAGGTCGTTTCGGAAACGCAGCCCGACCAGGACGCCGCGTCGCCTCTGGAGACCGTGTTGGCTGAGGCCGAGAAGCTGGACTCGTTGCAGTGGGTCTACTTGGTGACCATATCGCGCGTCCTGGACGCGACCCTTCCCGACGGCCGCCAGTACCGCGATCTTGGCACGATGAGCCGGGAGGACATCGGACAAGCAGTGGCCGACGCGTTCAACAATCCGATTCCGACTGGGTCCGCGGGCGGCCGCCTTAGGAAGGAACCGGACGGCCAAGCGCTCGTGCCCATGGCGGTGGTGTTCCAGGAGAAGCACAAAGACGGCGCGATCCATTTCCACGTTGCTGTGAAGCTGACTAGGTCGGGCCGTTTCCAGCAGGCCAAGCGCACTCTGCGTGAGCGCCATTTGTTGCCGAGCCATTTCTCTGGTTCCCACCGGCGAATGTGGAGCGCCGTGAGGTACGGGTATATGGAGACCCCAGCCAAACCAGATGTCGACGACGCCCCGTGGGTGTGGCAGCCAGACTGGGCCGGGTTCGCGCGCGAGAACGACGCCATCGACCTCTTCGAGATGTCGCAGGAGCCATACATGGCAGGCGTGTGGGTGAAGCGCCGGGAGGCCACGGACAAGGCGGCCGGGGCGATGGGCACGAAGACGACGTTCGACCTCGTAGACTTGACCTCGACCATCATCGCCAAGCACTTGTGGACGAAGGGCAGCCTGATGGCGTACGTCCAGGACCGCGGGACGAAGGCCATGCAGCGGTTCGTCCGCAGCCGAGTGCGCAAGCTGACGGCGGACCTTGAGGAGACGAAGGAGTGGGCGTCTGCCCGCGAGAACGCGGCCTTCGAGGCGGTGGACGATTGGACGCTCGTGTGCCGCTGCGCTGAGGAGACATGTCCCCATGGCCCGGCGTGCTCGTACAGGTCAGCCGTGGAGACCATCTTCTCCCGCAACGCCGCTTCTTTCGACGTTCGGGAGCTCGCGGCGTCTCTGCGGGACATTCTGATGGTCGGCCCGAAGAAGACGACGAGGGTGCCCTTCCTGGTGGGGCCGTCGAATTCCGGGAAGAGCACGGTAGTTTACCCTTTCGACGACTTGTTCACTCCGAAACGGGTTCTGCACAAGCCTGCCTTGGGCTCCTCCTTTGGACTCCGGAACCTGGCCAGCGGCACGAAGCGGTTCATCTTCTGGGGCGACTTCCGGCCGGTTGAGTTCGCCCACGAGAAGACCGCCCCCGTCTCTTTGTTCCTGTCTCTGTTCGTCGGCCAGCACACCGAGATCCAGGTTTCCCAGTCCTTCAACGACGGGAACAAGGACGTCTGCTGGAACCACGGCGCCGTTTTCACGGGCAAGCTGGAGGGCCTCTGGGAGACGACGAATAAGGTGGGTGCGGAGGACATCCGGCACATGCAGAACCGCGTGAGGCAGTTCCCATTCACCTCCGTCTTGTCGGACGGCTCTTTGCAGGACGTACTCTCGTGTGCTCCGTGCATGACCGCGTGGATCGTCCGGGAGGCGGCAAAGTTCGACGCCGTCGGCGTTTTCCGCCCGGCGCCCGCTGCGCCGGTCGGGGCAGACGCGGGCGTGCCGCCTGTGAGCGGCTTCGACGACCTCATGTCCGACGCGCGCATACCCCGCGCGCAGGCAGACGCCTTGCTGGCGGATGTCCGCGCGATGGGTGCGGTTGCCGTGGACGAGGTGCTCCCCGCGGACTGGGTCCGTCTGAATTCGTGGGCCTTGCTGCTCCCGCTCCAGAAGCGCAGACTTCTTGGGCAAAATGGCTCTCCGGTTTCGCCCTGAGGGGGCGCGCGGGCAGCGCCGGGGGCTTCCCCCCAGCGCTCCGCCCCACGTCTTTTGCATGCTCGCGAGGGTGCGCGTGCGGTTACCGCTGGCGAAGTCCAGTTGGGTTGCGCACGCCCGACTCTCAGCCTTTGCGCTTCCGGAAGCACGCGCGCGCGGGCACCTCTGACCAAGTCCACTTGGTTTGCGAGCGCCCGCCTGTCAGCTTTTGCACCCCCGTGAGCACGCGCGCGCGGGCGCCGCTGGCGCCGCCCAGTGGGGTTACGCGTGCGCGCGCGTGGCACCCGGCAGCGCATCCATCGTCTTTGCGCGGAAATGACGCCTCGAAGGGGTAGAAGTGCGAGACGAGGTAGACAGGGCAGAGTGGACGGAAGCTGCAGGGGAGAGTAAGGGGGGCCATCAGCGTTGTGTCGCCACCGGACGATTCCGCACGCGTAGCGTCGCGTGAATAGCCTCGAATTGCGTGGCGGCGTGAATGCATGCATGCACGTACGTGTATGCATGGGTGTATGCACGCATAGGGGAAAGGCATATGGATGTGCAAATAGGGTGTACATACACACTTATGTATACACGTGTATATATATACATATATATATATATATACACATACAACATATAAATATGGGAATACATATATATGTGTGTGAATGTACAGCGCTGTGTCACTATAAGACGCTCGTGGGGGGTACCGCCGTTTGCGAAATAAGCGCCCATCTTAGGGATCGAAAACAAGACGTCGAAGCACGCCCCCTTTCCCCCGCATTTCAAGGTTGACGGGGAGGGCTGGTCAGTCCAACATAAGTGGGCGTTTATTTCGCAACGCTTCGCACTCCCCTTCGGCGTGTTCGGTGGCCAACATTGAAATGCGGGGCGCGGGGCGGGGATCTCGGTACTTCCACACGTGGGCGTTTATTTCGCAAACGGCGGACTCATTTGCCATGGCATCTTCGGCTGCGGGCATCTGCATGGGTTGCGTTGCAAGACTGGCCCCCTCCGCGCTGCCCAACGGGTTGCGCTCTCCTGTTGGCGCCCTGCAAGGACTTTGAGGCTGCCCGAAGCCGCCCGTCTTGAGGGCGGCGTCAAGAGCGACGCCAGACTATGAACGCCGCCGCGTGCTCCGGTCACATCGACAAGCCTTCCGTTCACCTGGCGCAGCTGTTTCGGCTCAGTCGTCACCGCAGCAACGGCCTCGCCCCGCCCCGAGGCCATCTGACCCCTTTTTCGGTCGCGGGCCCAGATGGCGCCCCACCTCAGCAAGAGGGAGCTCGACCGCTGCTTCTCGCTCTACGCCGCTGGGAAGACCCCGGTGGAGATACGCGACCTCGTTAGTCGGACCCGTGAGTCCCTCGACGAGACTGGGCCGGATTTGACGACCGTCCGCCGGGCCCTCCGGGGCGCCGCGCACAGGCGTGGCCCAGCGGAGACTCGCGGCCGCAAGCCCAAGCTCACGGCCGTCAAGCTCCGCGCCTTGAACAACGCGCGGGTTCGTTTGATTCGGGCGGCCAAGGGCGAGGCCGAGGTTCACCTCAAGGACGTGATGAAGGCCGCGCGGGTCTCCGACGTCCACAAGGGCACGGCCTCCAGGCACTTCAAGCGCCTCGGGGTCACCTGGCGCGCTCCCCGCGCGGAGCCGCTCCGCGGCTCCGCGGAGGCGGAGGAGCGCGTGGCGGCGCGTTCGGGGTGGAAGCGGCTCCCGGGCAACTATTTCACGCACCAGGTCGATGCCATCATCGACAATAAGGTGTTCCCCATCCCCATGACCAAGCGGGCGAAGACGCACGCAAAGAAGAGTCGCGTTCGCGGCCACCTTCGCACCAAGGCAGAGGGGGCGCGACTCTCGGTCCCGAGTGCGATCCCAGGGGCTGGGGGCGGGGGCCGCCGGGCCGCCGAAGTCGAGATGCCGATTCCGCCCCCGATCGTTGCCCCGATCCATGTCTGCGATCCAAGTCTGATCGGGTCTGATCGGCCCCGTCCAGGCGATCGGACATGTTTTTCTTGGCGTCGTTTCTTTCTGGTATGAGGGTTCTTATTGGCGTAGTTTCTTTCGGATGCGAGGGGCGGGGGGGGGGGCCGGGCGGGGGGCCGGCTGGCCGGGCCCTCCCCCGAGGTCCTCAAGCCTTTCACGAAGCCGAAGGGGAACCGGAACAGGGTGAACCCAGGCGCCAAGGTTCACCTGGCCGCAGCCATCGTGAACAAGTAGGTCCGCGTCTGGCACTACCTGCCCACCCTGTGGTGCGCCGACGCAGCCTGCGATTTCTACGCGGGCGCCCTCGCTCCCGCGCTTCGCCGTTGCCGGAAGGGGCGCCGCGCCTTCCGCATCCTGGAGGATAACGACCCCACGGGGTACAAGAGCAAGAAGGCCGTTGACTGCAAGCGGCCCCCTTAATTGGCGCGCCACCGCGGCGGCCGCGAGTTCGAGTCGGGCCCCGTCTGGCGATCGCCCCGCCAGTCGGCGCCCGCTCTTGATCGCCCGCCGTTCGCGCCCCGGTCGACCCCGCTCGGTCGCTCTCAGGCGGGGTCTCAAGATCACCCCCATCAAGTTCCCCAAATATTCCCCGGACTTGAACCCCCTCGACTACTTCCTCTGGGCGGAGGTCAACCGGCGAATGGCAGAGCAGAGCGCGCCGGCCAACGAGTCTCAGAGCGCTTACAAGGCGCGCCTCAGGCGCGTCGCCATGAGCATCCCGAAGAGCGTCATCAGGGCAGCCGTGGCTAAGATGAAGACGAAGGCGGCGGGGGTCGTCGTGGCCGAGGGAGGCAGGATCCCGAGCGATTGAGCCTGCGGCCCGGGAGCGTTGGCGCTGATCAGCCGAGTCGGCGGCACGGTCTTTGCCACGACGCAATTTTTCCAGCCGCGGCCGGGGAGCCAGCCGAATCGGCGGCTCGGCCTCTGCCAGAGCAGATTTTTCCTCAGTGACCGCCGAGAGATTTCAGAATTCCTGCCGCAGCGCATGCACCGAGAAACGTGTCGTGGATCCGTAGACTTGAAAATCGTAGCCGTGCTGCTACTGTTCCATCCCTGCCTTTCGGGAGGTGCTCGGCTGCCCATGGCGAGGGCCCTGCGGTGCTCGCGACTCCTGCGCTTTACGCGCGTTTGCCTTAGTGCAGGCCCGCGCGGGACACAGCCTGCGTATCATTGCGGCTTCATGTCGTTTGCACGTGTGTCCAGAACATCGTGCAACGCGTTGCCCGCGCGTCTGATGGCGTACGTCCAGGACCGCGGGACGAAGACCATGCAGCGGTTCGTCCGCAGCCGAGTGCGCAAGCTGACGGCGGACCTTGAGGAGACGAAGGAGTGGGCGTCTGCCCGCGAGAACGCGGCCTTCGAGGCGGTGGACGATTGGACGCACGTGTGCCGCTGCGCTGAGGAGACATGTCCCCATGGCCCGGCGTGCTCGTACAGGTCAGCCGTGGAGACCTTCTTCTCCCGCAGCGCCGCTTCTTTCGACGTTCGGGAGCTCGCGGCGTCTCTGCGGGACATTCTGATGGTCGGCCCGAAGAAGACGACGAGGGTGCCCTTCCTGGTGGGGCCGTCGAATTCCGGGAAGAGCACGGTGGTTTACCCTTTCGACGACTTGTTCACGACGCACCGAAACGGGTTCCTGCACAGGCCTGCTTGGGGCTCCTCCTTTGACTCCGAACCCACACGGGCACGAAGCGGCTCCATCTTGCCTTATTCCATGCGATGGAAGCCTGGGGCACGAGAAGCCGCCCCCGTCCCTTTGTTCCTGCTCTGTTCGTCGGCCAGCCCACCCGAGATCCCAGGTTTCCCAGACCTTCAACGACGGGAACAAGGACTACTGCTGGAACCACGGCGCCGTTTTACCACGGGCAAGCTGAGGTCCTCTGGGGTACGACGAATAAGGTGGGTGCGGAGGACATCCGGCACATGCAGAACCGCGCGAGGCAGTTCCCATTCACCTCCGTCTTGTCGGACGGCTCTTTGCAAGACGTACTCTCGTGTGCCCCGTGCATGACCGCGTGGATCGTCCGGGAGGCGGCAAAGTTCGACGCCGTCGGCGTTTTCCGCTCGGCGCCCGCTGCGCCGGTCGGGGCAGACGCGGGCGTGCCGCCTGCGAGCGGCTTCGACGACCTCATGTCCGACGCGCGCATACCCCGCGCGCAGGCAGACGCCTTGCTGGCGGATGTCCGCGCGATGGGCGCGGTTGCCGTGGACGAGGTGCTCCCCGCGGACTGGGTCCGTTTGAATTCGTGGGCCTTGCTGCAGGCCCGCGCGGGACACAGCCTGCGTATCATTGCGGCTTCATGTCGTTTGCACGTGTGTCCAGAACATCGTGCAACGCGTTGCCCGCGCGTCTGGCCCGCGGCGGAGGAGGCGGCAGGGCGCGTTGCCCGGCGCTTGCAACGTGGAGCTCGCGGCCGGTGCTGCGACCAACAGCGCTTGCCTTCGTGACTTGTTGGCGGTGCGTTATGCCATTTCTACCAAACACGGAGGAAAGCCAATTCCGTCGGATTGAAGGTCCGGGGGCGGGGAGGGCAGGCGACCGCTTATCCCAGGGGCCGCCTTAGAGCACAACTAGAGCACAACTAGAGCACAACCTAGAGCACAACCTAGAGCACAACCTAGAGCACAACTCATTTCATGGTAGTCTGGCACGCATTCGCGTTCGAAAATAAAGAAAGTATTGATTCTTTTTTGATTTGGGAAGGTTGAGTGCCATTTTTTCTATGAAAATATATACCTTCATGAGTTGTGCTCTAGGTTGTGCTCTAGGTTGTGCTCTAGGTTGTGCTCTAGGTTGTGCTCTAGGTTGTGCTCTAGTTGGGGCCGCCAGGCCAGACGGATCGTAGACGGGTGGCGGGCGCGGGGCGCGCGTCGTGTCGCAGGTCGCGAGCGCGGGTCGTGGGCGAAGTTCGCCGTGTTCGGGTCGCTGGTCGGAATAGCACCCTCGCCGTCGCGCTGGTCACAGCGTGTTCCTCTCTCCTCCCTATCGGGGAGGCTTGCGCACGCCCGCCCAGGCGCCGAGGCTTTTGCCGGGCCAGACCGAACCGCGCCAGGACCCGCGTCCATGTCGACGGCGGACGCCCCAGGCGTACACTCCAAGAAAATATGTTTGGACATGGATCCCTCGCTCGTGTCGGAGCCGTTTTCTTTGTGGGCCCGTTACGTACCACAGGGTTGCACGTGGACGTCGGAGTGGTGCTCTCGCCGTCGCGCTGGCCACGCTTTCCTGCCCCCGTCGTTTTTTGATTACGTGTCCGGACCGGAAGGCCTACGGCCAGGCATTGACTTTCCCCAGCCCCATTCACGGCGCGCTACCTTCCCAAGCTTGGTAAGCACACGCTCCCGAGATTTTCCGCAGAGATTTACTTGCTCTTGTGGATTGACGGAGTAGTCCCTGCTGCCAGAGGGAGGGTTCGGAGTCTGTGAGGGGTATAGAATTGGAGCAGGGAAGGACACGTAAACGACATTTTGTTTGTTTTTTTTGTTGTTTTCGGACAACAGGGGTAGACTGCAACGGGGGACCCCCAGGGGGCCAGGGCAGCCGGGTGGAAAATTCGGCGTCCTAAAAGGGGGAAAGTATGGCGTTTTTTTTTTTTCTTCTCAGGACTCTGCGCGCCCCTTGTAAGGATTGCCCGGCGCGGAGGCGAGAGCACCGATTCCTGGCAATGTGGGCCGCCGCTTGCGCTCCCTCCCTGCCTCCCGCTCTCCCTCCATTGGCATTGCCATTATCATCGCCCTTCAGACACCCGCAGGGTCGCGTCGCCCTGTCGCGAGGCGGCCGCTTGACCGGGAGTGCACCTGGAGAGCACCTGGAGAGTCCGATTATGTGCAATGTTATTGGTTTTGTACGATTATAAATCTTCGTATGTTCCGGCGCCCCACTGAATTTGGTGCGGATTTCGTGAGCTCGATTCTGAGATCGATCGTGGATTTTGAGATATATCTTAAGGTCGACCGTGGAATCGACAGTGAGATCGATAGTGATATTGATCGTGAGATCGATCTTGAAATCGACAGCGAAGCTATTGGAGACCTCCCAAAACCTCCAGAACCCTCCAGAACCCTCCCATACCTCCTAACCCCTCCGCGCTCCCCCTAAAACCTCCACAACTCCCCATACATCCGAAACCCTCACACTGCTCCCAAATCCTCCGGAACCCTCCCAACCCCCCTAAATTTTCTGAAGACTTCCCAAAACCTCCAGAACCCTCCAGAACCCTCCCATACCTCCTAACCCCTCCGCACTCCCCCCACCCCCCACCCCCATGCATCCGAAACCCTCGCACTGCTCCCAAATCCTCCGGAACCCTCCCACCCCCCCTAAATTTTGGGAAGACTTCCCAAAACCTCCAGAACCCTCCAGAACCCTCCCATACCTCCTAACCCCTCCGCACTCCCCCATGCATCCGAAACCCTCGTTCGCGCTGCTCCCAAATCCTCCGGAACCCTCCCACACCCCCTAAACTTTTGGAAAACTTCCCAAAACCTCCAAACCCTCCAGAACCCCCCCCAACCTTCTAACCCCTCCGCGCTCCCCCCAAAACCTCCACAACTCCCCATACATCCGAAACCCTCGCACAGCTCCCAAATCCTCCGGAACCCTCTCAAACTCTTTCTACTTTCAGAGGACTTCCCAAAACCTCCAGAACCCTCCAGAACCCAAGTCCTCTCCACCCCTCCGCCCCCCGCTTCCAGAGCCCTCGGAGTGCGGTGGATTCAGGGAGAGGGAATCGGCCTCGCTTGCACTCTTGGGACAAGTTGCATCGGTTTTCCCGCTCCGACCCAGACAGGTTTTTGGGCAATCTTGGGCCATTTGGCAGTTCCAGCGCCTGTTTGGGTTGTCTTGGGAATGTCGTCGATGTCCAGTTGGTGGGCATACCTTGCCCTCCCCCTCCCTCCCCCTTCCTCTGACCAGTCGGTGCTCGCAGGCACGTTGAGACTCACGTCCTGTGGTGCTCTGTAGTCCTTTCGAGTTCTGTGGTGCTCTGGGGCTGTTGCGGTGATCACCAGCCTTGTAGCGCCCACAGGCGCTTCGGCTCAAGCCGTTCTTATTTAATGGGCTCTGAGGTGCTCTCAGGCTTTGAAGTGGTGCTCACAGCCGTCCTGGTGCTCATGGCCATTGGTGCTTAAAACCACTGCAGCTGCCTTGTGGCTCAAGTCTTATAGGGAGAACCGTACGGACCTTGGCACCTGTCACTGGGAGTACCGTGCACTGCAATGCTCACAGACCCCTCTACGCCGAGGCGCCGCTTGCGGCAGAAGACGGACACGGGGCACGTGGTGCCGTCTCCCCCAGTCCCGTCCGCAGGCGTGGACGCCGATGCCGTCGAAACCAAAGCCATCCGGGACGCCTTGAAGGCCGTCTTAGTAGGCAAGGACTTGAAACACATTTCGTTGCGTGAGTGTCGCCGCCAGGTCGCTTTGAAACTCGGTTTGCAAGAGCATGCTTTGGACCAACGCAAGCACGAGTTCAAGAGCCTGACAACCGAGGTCGTTTCGGAAACGCAGCCCGACCAGGACGCCGCGTCGCCTCTGGAGACCGTGTTGGCTGAGGCCGAGAAGCTGGACTCGTTGCAGTGGGTATACTTGGTGACCATATCGCGCGTCCTAGACGCGACCCTTCCCGACGGCCGCCAGTACCGCGATCTTGGCACGATGAGCCGGGAGGACATCGGAAAAGCAGTGGCCGACGCATTCAACAATCCGATTCCGACTGGGTCCGCGGGCGGCCGCACTAGGCAGGAACCGGACGGCCAAGCGCTCGTGTCCATGGCGGTGGTGTTCCAGGAGAAGCACAAAGACGGCGCGATCCATTTCCACGTTGCTGTGAAGCTGATTAGGTCGGGCCGTTTCCAGCAGGCCAAGCGCACTCTGCGCGAGCGCCATTTGTTGCCGAGCCATTTCTCTGGTTCCCACCAGCGAATGTGGAGCGCCGTGAGGTACGGGTATATGGAGACCCCAGCCAAACCAGATGTCGACGACGCCCCGTGGGTGTGGCAGCCAGACTGGGCCGGGTTCGCGCGCGAGAACGACGCCATCGACCTCTTCGAGAAGTCGCAGGAGCCATACATGGCAGGCGTGCGGGTGAAGCGCCGGGAGGCCACGGACAAGGCGGCCGGGGCGTGAGGGCACGAAGACCGACGTACGACTTCGTAGACCTAGACCTCGACGCCGACCCATCAATCGCCAAGCACTTGTGACTAATTGGGCAGCCTGAAGTCGTACGTCCAGACCTCGGGACTAAGCCACGCAGCGTTCGTCCGTCAGCCGAGTGCGCAAGCTGAACGCTGGACCTTGAGGAGACTGAAGAGTGGGCGTCCTGCCCGCGAGAACGCGGCCATCCGGAGGCGGAGGACGATTGGACGCTCCGTGTGCCGCTTGCGCGGAGGAGTCAGTCCCCCATAGGCCGTCGGGGGGGTGCTCGTACAGTCAGCCGTGGAGACCATCTTCTCCCGCAGCGCCGCTTCTTTCGACGTTCGGGAGCTCGCGGCGTCTCTGCGGGACATTCTGATGGTCGGCCCGAAGATGACGACGAGGGTGCCCTTCCTGGTGGGGCCGTCGAATTCCGGGAAGAGCACGGTAGTTTACCCTTTCGACGACTTGTTCACTCCGAAACGGGTTCTGCACAGGCCTGCCTTGGGCTCCCCTTTTGGACTCCGGAACCTGGCCAGCGGCACGAAGCGGTTCATCTTCTGGGACGACTTCCGGCCGGGTGAGTTCGCCCACGAGAAGACCGTCCCCGTCTCTTTGTTCCTGTCTCTGTTCGTCGGCCAGCACACCGAGATCCAGGTTTCCCAGTCCTTCAACGACGGGAACAAGGACGCCTGCTGGAACCACGGCGCCGTTTTCACGGGCAAGCTGGAGGGCCTCTGGGAGACGACGAATAAGGTGGGTGCGGAGGACATCCGGCACATGCAGAACCGCGCGAGGCAGTTCCCATTCACCTCCGTCTTGTCGGACGGCTCTTTGCAGGACGTACTCTCGTGTGCTCCGTGCATGACCGCGTGGATCGTCCGGGAGGCGGCAAAGTTCGAGGCCGTCGGCGTTTTCCGCCCGGCGCCCGCTGCGCCGGTCGGGGCAGACGCGGGCGTGCCGCCTGTGAGCGGCTTCGACGACCTCATGTCCGACGCGCGCATACCCCGCGCGCAGGCAGACGCCTTGCTGGCGGATGTCCGCGCGATGGGTGCGGTTGCCGTGGACGAGGTGCTCCCCGCGGACTGGGTCCGTCTGAATTCGTGGGCCTTGCTGCTCCCGCTCCAGAAGCGCAGACTTCTTGGGCAAAATGGCTCTCCGGTTTCGCCCTGAGGGGGCGCGCGGGCAGCGCCGGGGGCTTCCCCTTAGTGCTCCGCCCCACGTCTTTTGCATGCTCGCGAGGGTGCGCGTGCGGTTACCGCTGGCGAAGTCCAGTTGGGTTGCGCACGCCCGGCTCTCAGCTTTTGCGCTTCCGGAAGCACGCGCGTGCGGGCACCGCTGACCAAGTCCACTTGGTTTGCGAGCGCCCGCCTGTCAGCTTTTGCACCCCCGTGAGCACGCGCGCGCGGGCGCCGCTGGTGCCGCCCAGTGGGGTTACGCGTGCGCGCGCGTGGCACCCGGCAGCGCATCCATCGTCTTTGCGCGGAAATGACGCCTCGAAGGGGTAGAAGTGCGAGACGAGGTAGACAGGGCAGAGTGGACGGAAGCTGCAGGGGAGAGTAAGGGGGGCCATCAGCGTTGTGTCGCCACCGGACGATTCCGCACGGGTAGCGTCGCGCGAATAGCCTCGGATTGCGTGGCGGCGTGAATGCATGCATGCACGTACGTGTATGCATGGGTGTATGCACACATAGGGGAAAGGCATATGGATGTGCAAATAGGGTGTACATACACACTTATGTATACACGTGTATATATACATATATATACACATACAACATATAAATATGGGAATATACATATATATATATATGTGTGTGAATGTACAGCGCTGTGTCACTATAAGACGCTCGTGGGGGGTTTGCCATGGCATCTTCGGCTACGGGCATCTGCATGGGTTGCGTTGCAAGACTGGCCCCCTCCCCGCTGCCCAACGGGTTGCGCTCTCCCGTTGGCGCCCTGCAAGGACTTTGAGGCTGCCCGAAGCCGCCCGTCTTGAGGGCGGCGTCAAGAGCGACGCCAGACTATGAACGCCGCCGCGTGCTCCGGTCACATCGACAAGCCTTCCGTTCACCTGGCGCAGCTGTTTCGGCTCAGTCGCCACCGCAGCAACGGCCTCGCTTCGCCCCGAGGCCATCTGACCCCTTTTTCGGTCGCGGGCCCAGATGGCGCCCCACCTCAGCAAGAGGGAGCTCGACCTCTGCTTCTCGCTCTACGCCGCTGGGAAGACCCCGGTGGAGATACGCGACCTCGTTAGTCGGACCCGTGAGTCCCTCGACGAGACTGGGCCGGATTTGACGACCATCCGCCGGGCCCTCCGGGGCGCCACGCACAGGCGTGGCCCAGCGGAGACTCGCGGCCGCAAGCCCAAGCTCACGGCCGTCAAGCTCCGCGCCTTGAACAACGCGCGGGTTCGTTTGATTCGGGCGGCCAAGGGCGAGGCCGAGGTTCACCTCAAGGACGTGATGAAGGCCGCGCGGGTCTCCGACGTCCACAAGGGCACGGCCTCCAGGCACTTCAAGCGCCTCGGGGTCACCTGGCGCGCTCCCCGCGCGGAGCCGCTCCGCGGCTCCGCGGAGGCGGAGGAGCGCGTGGCCGTGCGTTCGGGGTGGAAGCGGCTCCCGGGCAACTATTTCACGCACCAGGTCGATGCCATCGTCGACAATAAGGTGTTCCCCATCCCCATGACCAAGCGGGCGAAGACGCACGCAAAGAAGAGTCGCGTTCGCGGCCACCTTCGCACCAAGGCAGAGGGGGCGCGACTCTCGGTCCCGAGTGCGATCCCAGGGGCTGGGGGCGGGGGCCGCCGGGCCGCCGAAGTCGAGATGCCGATTCCGCCCCCGATCGTTGCCCCGATCCATGTCTGCGATCCAAGTCTGATCGGGTCTGATCGGCCCCGTCCAGGCGATCGGACATGTTTTTCTTGGCGTCGTTTCTTTCTGGTATGAGGGTTCTTATTGGCGTAGTTTCTTTCGGATGCGAGGGGCGGGGGGGGGGGCCGGGCGGGGGGCCGGCTGGCCGGGCCCTCCCCCGAGGTCCTCAAGCCTTTCACGAAGCCGAAGGGGAACCGGAACAGGGTGAACCCAGGCGCCAAGGTTCACGTGGCCGCAGCCATCGTGAACAACAAGGTCCGCGTCTGGCACTACCTGCCCACCCTGTGGTGCGCCGACGCAGCCTGCGATTTCTACGCGGGCGTCCTCGCTCCCGCGCTTCGCCGCTGCCGGAAGGGGCGCCGCGCCTTCCGCATCCTGGAGGATAACGACCCCACGGGGTACAAGAGCAAGAAGGCCGTTGACTGCAAGCGGCCCCCTTACTTGGCGCGCCACCGCGGCGGCCGCGAGTTCGAGTCGGGCCCCGTCTGGCGATCGCCCCGCCAGTCGGCGCCCGCTCTTGATCGCCCGCCGCTCGCGCCCCGGTCGACCCCGCTCGGTCGCTCTCAGGCGGGGTCTCAAGATCACCCCCATCAAGTTCCCCAAGTATTCCCCGGACTTGAACCCCCTCGACTACGTCCTCTGGGCGGAGGTCAACCGGCGAATGGCAGAGCAGAGCGCGCCGGCCAACGAGTCTCAGAGCGCTTACAAGGCGCGCCTCAGGCGCGTCGCCATGGGCATCCCGAAGAGCGTCATCAGGGCAGCCGTGGCTAAGATGAAGACGAAGGCGGCAGAGGTCGTCGTCGCCGAGGGAGGCAGGATCCCGAGCGATTGAGCCTGCGGCCCGGGATCGTTGGCGCTGATCAGCCGAGTCGGCGGCACGGTCTTTGCCACGACGCAATTTTTCCAGCCGCGGCCGGGGAGCCAGCCGAATCGGCGGCTCGGCCTCTGCCAGAGCGGATTTTTCCTCAGTGACCGCCGAGAGATTTCAGAATTCCTGCCGCAGCGCATGCACCGAAAAACGTGTCGTGGATCCGTAGACTTGAAAATCGTAGCCGTGCCTGCCTTTCGGGAGGTGCTCGGCTGCCCATGGCGAGGGCCCTGCGGTGCTCGCGACTCCTGCGCTTTACGCGCGTTTGCCTTAGTGCAGGCCCGCGCGGGACACAGCCTGCGTATCATTGCGGCTTCATGTCGTTTGCACGTGTGTCCAGAACATCGTGCAACGCGTTGCCCGCGCGTCTGATGGCGCGCGTCCAGGACCGCGGGACGAAGACCATGCAGCGGTTCGTCCGCAGCCGAGTGCGCAAGCTGACGGCGGACCTTGAGGAGACGAAGGAGTGGGCGTCTGCCCGCGAGAACGCGGCCTTCGAGGCGGTGGACGATTGGACGCTCGTGTGCCGCTGCATTGAGGAGACATGTCCCCATGGCCCGGCGTGCTCGTACAGGTCAGCCGTGGAGACCATCTTCTCCCGCAACGCCGCTTCTTTCGACGTTCGGGAGCTCGCGGCGTCTCTGCGGGACATTCTGATGGTCGGCCCGAAGAAGACGACGAGGGTGCCCTTCCTGGTGGGGCCGTCGAATTCCGGGAAGAGCACGGTGGTTTACCCTTTCGACGACTTGTTCACTCCGAAACGGGTTCTGCACAAGCCTGCCTTGGGCTCCTCCTTTGGACTCCGGAACCTGGCCAGCGGCACGAAGCGGTTCATCTTCTGGGACGACTTCCGGCCGGTTGAGTTCGCCCACGAGAAGACCGTCCCCGTCTCTTTGTTCTTGTCTCTGTTCGTCGGCCAGCACACCGAGATCCAGGTTTCCCAGTCCTTCAACGACGGGAACAAGGACGTCTGCTGGAACCACGGCGCCGTTTTCACGGGCAAGCTGGAGGGCCTCTGGGGGACGACGAATAAGGTGGGTGCGGAGGACATCCGGCACATGCAGAACCGCGCGAGGCAGTTCCCATTCACTTCCGTCTTGTCGGACGGCTCTTTGCAGGACGTACTCTCGTGTGCTCCGTGCATGACCGCGTGGATCGTCCGGGAGGCGGCAAAGTCCGACGCCGTCGGCGTTTTCCGCCCGGCGCCCGCTGCGCCGGTCGGGGCAGACGCGGGCGTGCCGCCTGTGAGCGGCTTCGACGACCTCATGTCCGACGCGCACAGGCAGACGCCTTGCTGGCGGATGTCCGCGCGATGGGTGCGGTTGCCGTGGACGAGGTGCTCCCCGCGGACTGGGTCCGTTTGAATTCGTGGGCCTTGCTGCAGGCCCGCGCGGGACACAGCCTGCGTATCATTGCGGCTTCATGTCGTTTGCACGTGTGTCCAAAACATCGTGCAACGCGTTGCCCGCGCGTCTGGCCCGCGGCGGAGGAGGCGGCAGGGCGCGTTGCCCGGCGCTTGCAACGTGGAGCTCGCGGCCGGTGCTGCGACCAACAGCGCTTGCCTTCGTGACTTGTTGGCGGTGCGTTATGCCACTTCTACCAAACACGGAGGAAAGCCAATTCCGTCGGATTGAAGGTCCGGGGACGGGGAGGGCAGGCGACCGCTTATCCCAGGGGCCGCCTTAGAGCACAACTAGAGCACAACTAGAGCACAACCTAGAGCACAACTCATTTCATGGTAGTCTGGCACGCATTCGCGTTCGAAAATAAAGAAAGTATTGATTCTTTTTTGATGTGGGAAGGTTGAGTGCCATTTTTTCTATGAAAATATATACCTTCATGAGTTGTGCTCTAGGTTGTGCTCTAGGTTGTGCTCTAGGTTGTGCTCTAGGTTGTGCTCTAGGTTGCGCTCTAGTTGGGGCCGCCAGGCCAGACGGATCGTAGACGGATGGCGGGCGCGGGGCGCGCGTCGTGTCGCAGGTCGCGAGCGCGGGTCGTGGGCGAAGTTCGCCGTGTTCGGGTCGCTGGTCGGAATGGCACCCTCGCCGTCGCGCTGGTCACAGCGTGTTCCTCTCTCCTCCCTATCGGGGAGGCTTGCGCACGCCCGCCCAGGCGCCGAGGCTTTTGCCGGGCCAGACCGAACCGCGCCAGGACCCGCGCCCATGTCGACGGCGGACGCCCCAGGCGTACATTCCGAGAAAATATGTTTGGACATGGATCCCTCGCTCGTGTCGGAGCCGTTTTCTTTGTGGGCCCGTTACGTACCACAGGGTTGCACGTGGACGTCGGAATGGTGCTCTCGCCGTTGCGCTGGCCACGCTTTCCTCCCCCCCGTCGTTTTTTTGATTACGTGTCCGGACCGGAAGGCCTACGGCCAGGCGCTGACCTTCCCCAGCCCCATTCACGGCGCGCTACCTTCCCAAGCTTGGTAAGCACACACCCCCGAGATTTCCCGCAGAGATTTAATTGTTCTTGTGGATTGACGGAGTAGTCCCTGCTGCCCGAGGGAGGGTTCGGAGTCTGTGAGGGGTATTGAATTGGAGCAGGGAAGGAGACGCAAACGAAACTTTTTTGTTTTTTGTTGTTTTCGGACAACAGGGGTAGATTGCAACGGGGGACCCCCAGGGGGCCAGGGCAGCCGGGTGGAAAATTCGGCGTCCTAAAAGGGGGATTTTTTTTTTGATTTTTCTTCTCAGGACTCTGCGCGCCCCCTTGTAAGGATTGCCCGGCGCGGAGGCGAGAGCACCGATTCCTGGCAATGTGGGCCGCCGCTTGCGCTCCCTCCCTGCCTCCCGCTCTCCCTCCATTGGCATTGCCATTATCATCGTCCTTCAGACGCCCGCAGGGTCGCGTCGCCCTGTCGCGAGGCGGCCGCTTGACCGGGAGTGCACCTGGAGAGCACCTGGAGAGTCCGATTCTGTGCAATGTTATTGGTTTTATACGATTATACAATCTTCGTATGTTCCGGCGCCCCGCTGAATTTGCTGCGGATTTCGTGAGCTCGATTCTGAGATCGATCGTGGATTTTGAGATATATCTTAAGGTCGACCGTGGAATCGACAGTGAGATCGATAGTGATATTGATCGTGAGATCGACCTTGAAATCGACAGCGAAGCTATTGGAGACCTCCCAAAACCTCCAGAACCCTCCAGAACCCTCCCATACCTCCTAACCCCTCCGCGCTCCCCCTTAAAACCTCCACAACTCCCCATGCATCCGAAACCCTCGCACTGCTCCCAAATCCTCCAGAACCCTCCCACCCCCCCTAAATTTTCGGAAGACTTCCCAAAACCTCCAGAACCCTCCAGAACCCTCCCATACCTCCTAACCCCTCCGCACTCCCCCCACCCCCCACCCCCATGCATCCGAAACCCTCGCACTGCTCCCAAATCCTCCGGAACCCTCCCAACCCCCCTAAATTTTCAGAAGACTTCCCAAAACCTCCAGAACCCTCCAGAACCCTCCCATACCTCCTCCCCCCACCCCCCACCCCCATGCATCCGAAACCCTCGTTCGCACTGCTCCCAAATCCTCCGGAACCCTCCCACACCCCCTAAACTTTTGGAAGACTTCCCAAAACCTCCAAACCCTCCAGAACCCCCCCCTACCTTCTAACCCCTCCGCGCTCCCCCCAAAACCTCCACAACTCCCCATGCATCCGAAACCCTCGCACTGCTCCCAAATCCTCCGGAACCCTCCCAAACTCTTTCTACTTTCGGAGGACTTCCCAAAACCTCCAGAACCCTCCAGAACCCCCAAGTCCTCTCCACCCCTCCGCCCCCCGCTTCCAGAGCCCTCGGAGTGCGGTGGATTCAGGGAGAGGGAATCGGCCTCGCTTGCACTCTTGGGACAAGTTGCATCGGTTTTCCCGCTCCGACCCAGACAGGTTTTGGGGCAATCTTGGGCCATTTGGCAGTTCCAGCGCCTGTTTGGGTTGTCTTGGGAATGTCGTCGATGTCCAGTTGGTGGGCATACCTTTCCCTCCCCCTCCCTCCCCCTTCCTCTGACCAGTCGGTGCTCGCAGGCACGTTGAGACTCACGTCCTGTGGTGCTCTGTAGCTGTTGCGGTGCTCTGAGGTCCTTTCGAGTTCTGTGGTGCTCTGAGGCTGTTGCGGTGATCACCAGCCTTGTAGCGCCCACAGGCGCTTCGGCTCAAGCCGTTCTTACTTAATGGGCTCTGAGGTGCTCTCAGGCTTTGAAGTGGTGCTCACAGCCGTCCTGGTGCTCATGGCCATTGGTGCTTAAAACCACTGCAGCTGCCTTGTGGCTCAAGTCTTATAGGGGGAACCGTGCGGACCTTGGCACCTGTCACTGGGAGTACCGTGCGCTGCAATGCTCACAGACCCCTCTATGCCGAGGCGCCGCTTGCGGCAGAAGACGGACACGGGGTACGTGGTGCCGTCTCCCCCAGTCCCGTCCGCAGGCGTGGACGCCGAGGCCGTCGAAACCAAAGCCATCCGGGACGCCTTGAAGGCCGTCTTAGTAGGCAAGGACTTGAAACACATTTCGTTGCGCGAGCGTCGCCGCCAGGTCGCTTTGAAACTCGGTTTGCAAGAGCATGCTTTGGACCAACGCAAGCACGAGTTCAAGAGCCTGACAACCGAGGTCGTTTCGGAAACGCAGCCCGACCAGGACGCCGCGTCGCCTCTGGAGACCGTGTTGGCTGAGGCCGAGAAGCTGGACTCGTTGCAGTGGGTCTACTTGGTGACCATATCGCGCGCCCTGGACGCGACCCTTCCCGACGGCCGCCAGCACCGCGATCTTGGCACGATGAGCCGGGAGGACATCGGAAAAGCAGTGGCCGACGCATTCAACAATCCGATTCCGACTGGGTCCGCGGGCGGCCGCCCTCGGAAGGAACCGGACGGCCAAGCGCTCGTGTCCATGGCGGTGGTGTTCCAGGAGAAGCACAAAGACGGCGCGATCCATTTCCACGTTGCTGTGAAGCTGACTAGGTCGGGCCGTTTCCAGCAGGCCAAGCGCACTCTGCGTGAGCGCCATTTGTTGCCGAGCCATTTCTCTGGTTCCCACCAGCGAATGTGGAGCGCCGTGAGGTACGGGTATATGGAGACCCCAGCCAAACCAGATGTCGACGACGCCCCGTGGGTGTGGCAGCCAGACTGGGCCGGGTTCGCGCGCGAGAACGACGCCATCGACCTCTTCGAGATGTCGCAGGAGCCATACATGGCAGGCGTGTGGGTGAAGCGCCGGGAGGCCACGGACAAGGCGGCCGGGGCGATGGGCACGAAGACGACGTTCGACCTCGTAGACTTGACCTCGACCATCATCGCCAAGCACTTGTGGGCGAAGGGCAGCCTGATGGCGTACGCCCAGGACCGCGGGACGAAGGCCATGCAGCGGTTCGTCCGCAGCCGAGCGCGCAAGCTGACGGCGGACCTTGAGGAGACGAAGGAGTGGGCGTCTGCCCGCGAGAACGCGGCCTTCGAGGCGGTGGGCGATTGGACGCTCGTGTGCCGCTGCGCTGAGGAGACATGTCCCCATGGCCCGGCGTGCTCGTACAGGTCAGCCGTGGAGACCATCTTCTCCCGCAACGCCGCTTCTTTCGACGTTCGGGAGCTCGCGGCGTCTCTGCGGGACATTCTGATGGTCGGCCCGAAGAAGACGACGAGGGTGCCCTTCCTGGTGGGGCCGTCGAATTCCGGGAAGAGCACGGTAGTTTACCCTTTCGACGACTTGTTCACTCCGAAACGGGTTCTGCACAAGCCTGCCTTGGGCTCCTCCTTTGGACTCCGGAACCTGGCCAGCGGCACGAAGCGGTTCATCTTCTGGGGCGACTTCCGGCCGGTTGAGTTCGCCCACGAGAAGACCGTCCCCGTCTCTTTGTTCCTGTCTCTGTTCGTCGGCCAGCACACCGAGATCCAGGTTTCCCAGTCCTTCAACGACGGGAACAAGGACGTCTGCTGGAACCACGGCGCCGCTTTCACGGGCAAGCTGGAGGGCCTCTGGGAGACGGCGAATAAGGTGGGTGCGGAGGACATCCGGCACATGCAGAAACGCGTGAGGCAGTTCCAATTCACCTCCGTCTTGTCGGACGGCTCTTTGCAGGACGTACTCTCGTGTGCTCCGTGCGTGGCCGCGTGGATCGTCCGGGAGGCGGCAAAGTTCGACGCCGTCGGCGTTTCCCGCCCGGCGCCCGCTGCGCCGGTCGGGGCAGACGCGGGCGCGCCGCCTGTGAGCGGCTTCGACGACCTCATGTCCGACGCGCGCATACCCCGCGCGCAGGCAGACGCCTTGCTGGCGGATGTCCGCGCGATGGGTGCGGTTGCCGTGGACGAGGTGCTCCCCGCGGACTGGGTCCGTCTGAATTCGTGGGCCTTGCTGCTCCCGCTCCAGAAGCGCAGACTTCTTGGGCAAAATGGCTCTCCGGTTTCGCCCTGGGGGGGCGCGCGGGCAGCGCCGGGGGCTTCCCCCCAGCGCTCCGCCCCGTCTTTTGCATGCTCGCGAGGGTGCGCGTGCGGTTACCGCTGGCGAAGTCCAGTTGGGTTGCGCACGCCCGACTCTCAGCTTTTGCGCTTCCGGAAGCACGCGCGTGCGGGCACCGCTGACCAAGTCCACTTGGTTTGCGAGCGCCCGCCTGTCAGCTTTTGCACCCCCGTGAGCACGCGCGCGCGGGCGCCGCTGGCGCCGCCCAGTGGGGTTACGCGTGCGCGCGCGTGGCACCCGGCAGCGCATCCATCGTCCTTGCGCGGAAATGACGCCTCGAAGGGGTAGAAGTGCGAGACGAGGTAGACAGGGCAGAGTGGACGGAAGCTGCAGGGGAGAGTAAGGGGGGCCATCAGCGTTGTGTCGCCGCCGGACGATTCCGCACGGGTAGCGTCGCGTGAATAGCCTCGGATTGCGTGGCGGCGTGAATGCATGCATGCACGTACGTGTATGCATGGGTGTATGCACACATATGGGGAAAGGCATATGGATGTGCAAATAGGGTGTACATACACACTTATGTATACACGTGTATATATACATATATATATACACATACAACATATAAATATGGGAATACATATATATATATATGTGTGTGTGTGTGTGAATGTACAGCGCTGTGTCACTATGAGACGCTCGTGGGGGGCGCCGCCGTTTGCGAAATAAGCGCCCATCTTAGGGATCGAAAACAAGACGTCGAAGCACGCCCCCTTTCCCCCGTATTTCAAGGTTGACGGGGAGGGCTGGGCAGTCCAACATAAGTGGGCGTTTATTTCGCAATGTGGGGCGCGGGGCGGGGATCTCGGTACTTCCACACGTGGGCGTTTATTTCGCAAGCGGCGGTATGGACGCCCAAAGGCCCTTCTCGGCGCCCAAGTCCGTGTAGAGTGTTTCAAAAAGGCTTTCGTTTTAAAGGAATTCAGAAGTCGTCTTCTTGGTCACCGCGGAGGCTGGCCGAAGACCCGCGGAAGCTGGCGGATGTAAATCGAAGGCGATTTGGCTGGCGGAAGCCAGCGGAACCTCGTCTGAAACCCGCGGAAGGAAATTGATTTTGTAAGAGGTCTACGTTGGCCACCGTACCGTCTTCAGGCATGCAGAACCAGCTGCATAAATGTCGCACGGTTTGCACAAAACGATCCATCGCCCCCTGGAGGTCTCCACACCTTCCCCGGAACAAGCTGTCTGGGGCTCCAATTGAACCCCCACACACCCCAAGACAGCCCCGACTCAGCCACGATAGGGCCCCAAGAGAAGTTCCGGCCGACGCCGCGCAACACCCGAACAACGAGCGTTTAGAGAAGCCCCAGAGTGCCACACGATGGATCAACGATCGCTCGAGCCGACATCCCAATGGCCGCTCCAAATTTTCGATGTGCAGAGCGTTGCGTTGCATGTCATTTGTGCTTCATTTATCCTTGCAGTAGTTCGCGTTGAGTTGCAATACGTTGCATAGCCACTGCATGACATTTCCACGATCATGTCATATGGATTCGCATTGCATGCGTCTGTGTGTATACTTGTCAGAATTCCGTCTCTGTTCGGTCTGCGCGATTGCTACCTCTTCACTTCATGTGCGAGCAATTTGTGTTTACGTGCACGCGTGCATTTGTGAGCTTGTCAAGGTCTTGGGGGTGCTAGAACCTAAGCGCGCGCGAAGCGCGCGCGTGGTTGTAGTATACATATATATGTATATGTAAAGCCATGTGAATACATATACATACATATATATATATATACATATGCATCTACATGTGTATATACACATATATAATATCATCATACCTACCGGTGTGATCTCGCACTGCTTTATTTCGACCGACCGTGTGCCCATAATGCTGTCGTGCTGGTGGTTGTGCTGGCGGCCGTGCTGGTGGTCGTGGTTGGTGGACGTGCTGGTGGTCGTGCTGGTGGTCGTGCTGCTGGCCGTTCTGGTGGAGGTGCTGGCAGTCGTGCTGGTGGTCGTGCTGGTACTTGTGCTGGTGGTCGTGCTGGGAAGTGCTGGTGGTCGAGCTGGTGGTCGTGCTGCTGGCTGGTCGTGCTGGTGGTCGTGCTGGTGGTCGTGCTGGGCTGGTGGTCGTGCTGGTGGTCGTGCTGGCGGTTGTGCTGGTGGTCGTGCTGGTGGCTGGTCGCGTTGGTGGTTGTGCTGGTGATCGTGCTGGCGGTCGTGTTGGTGGCCGTTCTGGTGGAGGTGCTGGTGATCGTGCTGGTGGTCGTGCTGGTGGTCGTGCTGGTGGTTGTGCTGGTGGTCGTGCTGGTGGCTGGCCGTGCTGGAGGTGCTGGTGGTCGTGTTGGTGGTCGTGCTTGGTCGTGCTGGTGGCTGGCCGTGCTGGAGGTGCTGGTGGCTGGTCGTGCTGGTGGTCGTGCTGGTGGTCGTGCTGGTGGTCGTGCTGGTGCTTGTGCTGGTGGTCGTGCTGGCGGTCGTGTTGGTGGCCGTTCTGGTGGAGGTGCTGGTGGTCGTGCTGGTGATCGTGCTGGTGGTCGTGCTGGTGGTTGTGCTGGTGGTCGTGCTGGTGGCTGGGCGTGCCGGTGCTTGTGCTGGTGGTCGTGCTGGCGGTCGTGTTGGTGGCCGTTCTGGTGGAGGTGCTGGTGGTCGTGCTGGTGGTCGTGCTGGTGGTTCTGCTGGTGGTCGTGCTGGTGGCTGGCCGTGCTGGAGGTGCTGGTGGTCGTGTTGGTGGTCGTGCTGGTGGTCGTGCTCGCGGTCGTGTTGCTGGCCGTTCTGGTGGAGGTGCTGGTGGTCGTGCTGGTGGTCGTGCTGGCCCCTCCCCCTCCCCCCCTGCGCCCCCCTCCCCTTATTCCGACCGACCGTGGGCCACCCCCCCCGCTTCTCCCCTGCGCCCCCTTCCCCTTATTCCGACCGACCGTGGGCCACCCCCCCCGCTCCCTCCCTGCGCCCCCCTCCCCTTATTCCGACCGACCGTGGGCCACCCCCTCCGCTCCCCCCTTGCGCCCCCCTCCGCTTATTCCGACCGACCGTGGGCCCCCCCCCGCTCCCCCCTTGCGCCCCCGTCCCCTTCTTCCGCCCGACCGTGGGCCACTCCCCCCGCTCCTCTTCTGCGCCCCTCTCCCCTTATTCTGACCGACCGTGGCCCCCCCACCGCTCCCCCCCTGCGCCCCCGTCCCCTTATTCCGACCGACCGTGGGCCACCCCCCCCGCTCCTCCCCTGCGCCCCCCTCCCCTTATTAGCGGAACCCGGGACGTGGGCCCCCCCCCCGCTCCTTCCCCTCGCCCCCTCCCCTTATTCCGACCGACCGTGGGCCCTCCCCCCGCTCCTCCCTGCGCCCCCCGTCCCCTTATTCGACCGACCGTGGCACCCCCCCCCCCGCTCCTCCCCTGCGCCTCCCTCCGTTATTCCGACCGACCGTGGTCCCCCCCCCGTTCGCCCCTTGCGCACCCCTCCCCTTATTCCGACCGACCGTGGGCCCTCCCCCACCCCGCTCCTCCCCTGGCCCCCATCCCCTTATTCAGACCGACATGGGGCCCAACCCCGGCTCCCCCCCCTCGCCCCCTCCCCTTATTCCGACCTACCGTGCCCCCCCCCCCCCCGCGCCCCCCCTGCGCCCCCCTCCCTTATTCCGACCAACCGTGCCCCCCCCCCTTCCCCCTTGCGCCCCCTCCCTTATTCCGACCGACCGTGGGCCCTTCCTCCCTCCCCCCCTGCGCCCCTTCCCTTATTCCGACCGACCGTGGGCTCCCCCCCCCTCCGCGCCTTTGCGCCCCCTTTTTCTTCTTGGGCCGACTCGTGGCACCCCCCCGCTGCCACCACCCCCTGCGCCCCCTCCCCTTATCCGACCGAATAGTGCCGTGCGCTCCCCCCCCGCTCCCCCCCTGCACTCCTCTCCTTATTCCGACCGACTGCGCCCCCCCCCGCTCCCCCCCCTGCGCTCCCGCCCCCAGGAGGGGGAAAGGAGGCGGGACAGGAGAAAGTGGAGGTGAGGAGGGGGAGAAGGAGGACGAGACAGAGGACAAGCGACCTTCCTCCATACCCAAACTGACATGCTTCTAGCCGCCCCTTCCCGTCTTCGAATCTGTCCCTTGCCAACGTGTCGCAGCAATTGCGGCGCGCTTCCCGGCGCCTGCCAAGGACTGCCTCCCTCGCGATCCCTGGTTTTCTCCATCTCCCATGGACCCACATCGTCATTGTATGATCCTTGGCACGCGTGCCCCTTGTCATATAATTTCAGCACGCCAATATGTATGTAATGCATGTATGTATGTATGTATGCATGTATGTGTATATATATATTTACATGGGGCGCGCGCATATCGACGCCCCTGTTTTTGCCAACGTCATCATCTGAACGACTCACTTAAAATGTAACGCCCCTCGCATAGTGCATCTTCTGTGTAGACGTGCTCGTATTAATCCAAAAGAATATGCGCGCGTCTACGCGCGCGCTCAGTCGGGGCAAGCGCGAGCGACTCAGGCGCCCCCCCGCCAGACTGACTTGCCGACGCCTCGTCAAATCACTTGCGCGCGGCCCAAGCCCCCGCCTGCCACTCGAAGCGCTTCTCCTGCACGTTCATCTTCGCGGGGTCTGCTTCGAAAGCGGAGAAATAGTCCACAATCCTCGACCGCCTGGTCATGGAATCGAGCTTGAGCGTGTCGGGGGCCTTCGCGCGCGGGGCATTGTTGCACTCCCAGTAGAACGCGGTTTTCCGCAGGTTGACCATTGGAGTCGCCTTGCCGCAGTTCGGCCCCACGGGGAATTTTCCGCCCGAAAACGCGTTCCTCAGTAAATCGCCGCGCGCCGCCGTCGTCGTGGGCGCCTCCTGTATTGTGGCGGCCCGACAGAATGCACAATTGATACCCTGCTTGCGACGCTCCTCCTCGTTCTCGAAGCACGTGGACGGGATGTACTTGTGGGTGTCCGAGAAGACGTTGTGATTGAAGGCAGAAAGCAGGGGCTTGGAATTGCCGCCGCCCCCGACATGGTACAAGCAGACGTGCGTGTCTTGCTTCCCCAGGTGGCCGAGGATGTCGCTCGCGCGTGCCATGCGACGGCCTTCGGGGTTCCCCGCGAACGCAGTCATTAGCGCCATAGAAAACTTCTCTCGGTCGGCGTCGGGCGGCTTGTAGGTCAGGTGGTTGTGCAGGTGGCATTTCATGTGGATGTAGCAGTCGTTCTTCGCTGCTTTCTGGATGCGCTCGATGCTCCCGCCACGTTGCGTTCCACCCGTGGCAGATGATATGTTAGCGCGCGCATTGTCAAAGCATACTATGGTGTGCTCCGTGACATGGCGGTCCTGCTGAAAGAACTCGGCGTACGCCTTCAGGGCGCCAGGCCCTTGGGTTGCATTCGCGAAACGCCGTGGCATGTTGGAGAGCGAATGCGCCGCCGCGGTTGCCCAATGCTTCGCGTTGCGCAGCTCGAAGTCTTCTGCGGGGGCGACGTTCGCCCACCCCTGGAAGTTCTTCAAGTAGGGGATGACGCTCGCCCAGGTACGTTCCACTTCCGCCTTCGCCGCCTCCATCAGCACGAATTTGGCCGCCGTCATCGCTTGCCCCACGCGGGTGGCGAGGCGCCGAGGCATCGTGCCGGCGGCCAGCCAGGCCCCGTCCTCGAGCTCGTACGCGGCATCGGGGTGAGCGCGAAGCTCCCCCCCGCAGAGCAAGCCAACAACGCGGGCGAGGAGGAAAACGCTCTTTGGGTCCCAGGTCATGCCCAAGTCGACGTACCGAGCGACAGTGGACAATACATTCTTCTTGACGAGATCCATGCTCGCCCAAGCCTCGCCGAAGCCAAGTGCCAACTTGTTCGCCAGCCGCTTGGTCTCCTCCAAGAGGGTGGCCTTCGGCCCTGTCGCCTCTGCCAGAACCTGGAATGTCAAGTAGCTGGCATTCAGCTCGTCAGGCCCATCGTCTTTCCACATCTCTACGTCGGCGCTGCCAGCCGCCGCAGCCAGGCGCGGGCGCGCGCGGCCCTCGACGGGAACACTTGCTGGCGCCGCCATTCAACCGACTGGCGTGGACAGCGAGAGACGTGATGTGGTGAAGTGGGCGGAGTCGCGGCCGTCTGGGCGCGAACTTTCTTTAAGCCAAAACGCCAGCAGTGAGGAGAGGTTTCCTTGTTATGATTGGTTAGCGTGTTTCCTACGTTTCCCAACCTGCTGGGTTTTCTCTCGGGTTCCTTAATGGGGGTCCTCCAGAACCCTCTCGTCGGTCGCTCGCGTGTCCCCCCCTGTGCCTTTCCTCGGGGATCCTCCTGGAATGCTTTCTAAGGCTCCCCTACTGCACCCCAACCGTGTCATGCTGGAGCGCAAGCCTGCTATCGGCAACTCGTGGATGCTGTGTCGTTGGATCCTATTGCTTCCTCGTGGTTCCTCATCTCTCTTGGTTGTGGCTTACGACGATGTTTTTCTTTGAGGAGACAACGTAAGCTGGCTCCCTCTTGCTCGCTCAGTCGGAGTCCGAGGAGGCATCGGCGCCCACGGCGTCTGACGACGACGCGGACGAAGAAGACGCTGAAGACGAGCTCGAGGAACCCTGCTTTTTGGCAGGGCGCTTCATCGCAACCGCCTCTTCGTTGAGCTTTTCCAAGCGCCTCTTCTCACGGTTGCGCCGCGCCGCCCCCTTGTTAGCCGTCTTCTCCTCGTGTGCTGTCATTTTCTCGCGAACGCAAGTGGAAGCTATCGGGGCCGCCTGCTTGCGACGGAGGCGCTTTCTCACGGAAGGGGCGGGGACCTTCCAACCGTTGTTGGTTGCGAGCTGAGCTGGGGTCTTGGTGCTCTTCTTGATATTTTTCCCATCCCTCGGCATCGCCAGGGAACGCGGCGTGAACCTTGCAACAAAACAGTGCTTGAGCCTCAATCCAGCTACGGAAGACTGAACTGATGCTGGTGACGGTGCTGATAACGTGCGTCAGCCGGAAGAAACTGCCGATGACAATGCGAATGAGGAGTATTATTTTCAAGATGCAATTGATGACGATGCTGATGACATGCCGTGCTCTGAGGATGCGGTTGGTGACGATGGTGATGACGAGTGTGACTATCGAAATCTTGTTGATGACGATGGTGATGACGAGTATGGTTTTGAACATACTGCTGATGACGATGCCGATGACATGCATCAACCTGCCGATAATATCGATGATCATGCTGATGACGATGGTGATTCTCAGGCTGCTGTCGATGACGATGGCGATGGCGTCTCCTCCTCCTCCTCCTCCTGCTCCTCCTCCTCTTCCTCCTCCTCCTCCTGGGTGGTCCGACGGTGGAGGAGGAGGAGGAGGAGGAGGAGGGGGGAGACCAAGAGGTGCTTCTTCTGGATGGTCCTCCTCCTGGGTGTTTCGAAGGTGGAGGTGGAGGTGGTGATGATGACGAGCATGACTATCCAGACCTTGTTGATGACCATGCTGGTGACAATTATTTCTTCCAGCGGTGCCGTTCTGCTGATGACCATGCTGCTGATGACCATGCTGATGACATACCGTGCTCTGAGGATCCTGTTGGTGACAATGGTGATGACGAGTATGATTATCAAAACCTTGCTGATGACGATGGTGATGACGAGTATGGTTTTGAACATGCTGCTGATGACGATGCCGATGACATGCGTCAACCTGCTGATGATATCGATGGCCATGCTGATGACGATGATGATTCTAAAGCTGCTGTCGATGACGATGGTGATGACGTCTCCTCCTCTTCCTTCTCCTCCTCTTCCTCCTTTTCCTGCTCCTCCTCCTCCTGGGTGGTCCGAAGGTGGAGGGGGGGGAGGAGGAGGGAGGAGGAGGAGGAGGAGGAGGAGGAGGAGGAGGAGGAGGAGGAGGAGGAGGAGGAGGAGGAGGAGGAGGAGGAGAGGAGGGGGGGGGAGACCAAGAGGTGCCCCACCTGGGTGGTTATCCTCCTGGGTGGTCCGCAGGTGGATGTGGAGGTGGTGATGATGACGAGTGTGACTATGAAAACCTTGTTGATGTCCATGGTGATGACGAGCTGCGCCTCGCCGAAAACGTTCGGGCCCGACCTGAGAACCGAAATTGGTTCGAACGTGGAGGAGAAGACGGAGGAGAAGGGGGGGGGGGGCGATGAGGACCAAGGGAAATTAGAAATCCGAGGGGAGGGATTCCGATACCGAGAAGGAGGCGCAGGAAGGGGAAGAGGAGGACGAGGAGGGCGAGGGGCAGGGGGGGGAGGAGGACGACGAGGCGCCGCCGACGCCCACGGGCTACCCCTCTCTCAGGGGTTCGGCCCTGGCCCCTGGGGGGAAGGATCCAGCAAACAAAAAAACGCCCCCCTGGATCCACTGGCCCCGTTTTTTTTGGGTTTGCCAGAAAAAAAAACGGGGCCAGTGGATCCAGAGGGCCGTTTTTATGTTTTTTCTTTTGGAACCATCCCCCCAGGGGCGGACCCCCCCAATCCCCTTCGCACAAATGGAATATATGTGTAAACTGCCATAAAGGGAATCTGCGTGTAATACCGCCGCAAACGGAATCAATTTGTAGGCCCCCAGAAAGGGAATCGATGTGCGACCCCCACAAGCGAGGTAAACAAGTACACAGAGAGGAAAAGAAAACGGGCGCCCCCGCCAACAGTCTTCGGGGCAGAAAAAGCATGGGCACCGAAATGCGCGTGCACCCACGTGATTTTCGCCCCCGCGCGCCTGTCTTGCCCCCTGAAAGTTCCAAAAACAATTGGCGTTAGTTTCCCTTTGCCCACAGGGAAGACCATGTATTGAAAGTGGTAAAGTCGATACATGTTACCTCCTTTGGCTGGAACGATAGTCAGTCGCAGGTTACCACTCCAGCCTAGTGCGCGCTAGAACGATAACCCTTCTCAGGTTACCTCTCCAGCCTAGGTCGCGCGGACGCGATAACCTTGTTCAGGTTACCTTGCCCGCGGCTGGAACGGTAACCTTCCTTAGGTTACCGCTCCAGCCTAGTGCGCGCTAGAAGGATAACCTTCTTCAGGTTACCTCTCCAGCCTACTGCGCG